TAGCAATAATACGGAAAATAATTTTAAAATCTGATGGAAAATATAAGTTAATAGGATATTTGCAGATGTTTTTTCTTACTTGAAAGTAATTGACTACATTAAAATATAAATAACATTTGAAACCGTACAAGAAGGCCGCATGCGGCTTCGGGGCCGCGCGTTCCCCACCTCTGGTGTAGACTATCGGAAATCTCGATTTGAAATGTAGACAGAATCCATGTCGCGTCGAAACACGAGCCAATCGTGTTTCCATAGGACGGGGCTTTATTGACCGACATATGTCGCTTGTGCAAACATGAAAAGGCGTCAAAAAATATGCATTCCGATGCTTTTATCTTCTATCCGTAGATACATATTTAAAGCGTTTGAATAATTCAAAAGAAGTTCCAGAAGATGCCTGTGATACCTGACGGTATTTTACATTTATATTTGCTAAAAACTAACAAAAATAATTGGAACTTATACATTAATGATTAATATAACATTTTACGGTACGGATATAATGTATATAATAATTTAATATAATTATTAAAAATCAGGTTTGATATTGATTGATAAAGAGATTTTAATTTAAAAATTAGCAGAGATACGAGATTTGATGAATTGTACAAGAAATGTTGATTATACTCCAATTTGATAACAACGGAGTTGCACAATTATGATAACAATTATAGATAATAGACTTCGTACTACTGCTAATATCTTCTGAAGTGAACAAACAGCTAATCGCATCAGTAAATACAATTTCACAATTATGTGAAATCTTATGAACGTCGTTATATAAATTTTCTCGTCTTTTTTTTTTCTTAAGTGTGTTTTTTATAATGGGTTTATGGAACACGTGTATGAGCTCTGTTAATTTAATTTTCGGCTACAGAACTACTTCTGGATAGATCGTTTGATAAGAGATTAATACTTGTTTCAGAAACGAGAAATTAAATATGAAACATCTGATCGTGGTACGAAAACGTTGTTTCATAATAGATACACGTCGTAATTTCACCTTCTTTAGTCACATTAAATAAGTGTTTGGGAATGCGTTTATGAAAACGCACCCACACTCTACTCTATACATATTACATTATACATATATACTCTATACTCTATATACTCTATACATATTGTTATATGGCCATGGTATTTCGACAGATAGTTAACAGGATATAGGCTAATAAAATATGAAAATATATTGTTATAAACTGCTTAATTAAAAAGAGTATATTGTTTAGCAGTCAAAGTGTTGAAGTGTTCATGAAGTTTAGATAATCCTAGCTCATTACACAAGCTCAATTCACGGTCTATCTCAATCTCAACTATATTTTACAACTCTATCTTATTTTCTGTCAATCTCACAACCTTCGCAATTAATACAACTGCAGAGAGTCCTATGCAATCTCACACTCGATTAACGGCCACATCTCATTCTCAGCTCTATTATACATACTGTTTACGAGATCAATGATATCTCATGTCTAAGATTATCGTACAGAAATCATTCATTTTTAATTAAGTTCTTGCAAAGTAGTTCGTAAGAAAATCACTCCTTTAACCGTCTATTCCCGGCATTAAAAACTCTCTTTCTCAAACAATAAGGATTTTATAATTGATTACTTCAGCTGACAATATTAATGTTAGTAAAGTCTTTATTGATCCCTTAACAAATTACAACGGCCAGGACCTCCGTTTTCTTCTTACAGCATCATTACAAGAATAGAAACATGAGAAATTTATAAATGAACATACCTTTACACAGAAAAACTTCAAAATAAACTAAAAACAATTACATAAAAGTCCATCTGGAAATATTAACGTATCGAACAGTGCTTATATTTAAAGAGGTAGACTTCGATAGCGGTGTGTTAAGGCAGAATAACCACGAAAGTAGTCAAAAATATGGGTTTACGGGACTATACTCTTTGTCCTTGTAAAAACATATTTTTAGGTACCTCTATAGAAACAGGAAAGTTAAATCTGTCCTGCTCTGATCATGATTGATATAATGTCTCACCTCCTGAATGGTATAATAAATAATACAGTGTTTCATATGAAGGTTGATGCAATAATTCATACAATGTGGTACGAAATAGGTGTTTATCTAGTAGCTTTATTAACACTGGGTTTACGAGACATGTCATTTTGACGCATTCTAAATTTCATGAGGAAAATTACAGAAACCGTTTACATTTTTCTTCTATCACTTTCATTCACTGGGTACGAGATAAATATATATCGAAATTCTTTTTCTTCAAAGCTTTATCATTTTAGAAATCTCTATGTAGTATATCTAACTTTACGGAACGCGTCAAATTGAGGTGTATGCATAACAGATGTCTGTAAACTTAGTGCTAAAAAATGTTTCATAATAAGTACTTTTACTTTGTTTCACCGTCTATACTCATATGTATTCATATACATATTGTCACTATATGTACGTTCATAGATGTATTATTCAGTTATATGTTTTATACTGTATTCCAAGGAGTGTACATTTCTTAGCGAAATCAGGTCGGGGAAGAAGCTTCCTCCTATCTCGTCGATTCATTCTGATAATGAAAAGCAGTTCGATTGGATGAATAAATCCTTTCGGGGTGAACGCACGTATCCCGAAAAGGAGTGTCCCACGGGAATTGCGTGGTTTATTCGACGCGACATGGCGTTGGCGTGTATTTGTTTCTCTTCAAGGCGCAGTATCCGTATCTGGGTTTCCCAACGTTATTTGTAGTACGCCGTCTGATTTAGTTCTCCGTGTAGACTGAACGTCTCAACTTGAACAGACGTTAATATTAGCATAAAAAATGTTTAAACATCGATACGTCCTCGCATAGTTTCAATTTCAACTGTTTCGTATTTGTATAGGTAGTATAATGACAAAATATTCTAGTTCAATGTATTCGAAAATACTGTATGATGTAATGTTGATGTATTTAGCAGTTAGGCTAGTAACTACTAGACTAATAAAATAATTAAGAGCTAAATTGCAAAGATTTCATTTTTCAATTTTTTATAAGTTCTAATTTCCGCAGAGTAAGCACAGATAAACGGGCCTCATGCAAATTTTTACTTCTCTTATTTGCCAGACAATTTGTTCTCTATTTGAAAAATATTCTGTAAAACTTCAGATCCTTATTCTTTAGTTCAAGAATAATATGTATAAGTATAGTAATAGAACTTTATCAATTCTTTTCTCGTTAGTATTTAAGATAATTACACGAAAATAGAGTTACAAATTAGCTTGATTTAATAATTTTTTCAGGATTGTAAATTTTAACTATTATAGAGGTAGAAAATAATTTTTTTGGGGATTTATGCAAACAACTAGAAGTAAATTTCCCATGAATCTATGATGCAGCCAGTGTACAGTGACCACGAATCTTTGAATCGTCGATTCCTTCGAAAACTCGAACGACGAGCACGGATAAATAATTCCTGGCCGGTAGCGAACCGCGGAAAGTAACGTCCCTGGAGGCTTCCGGCACGAGATTCGCCTCCGGTGTGCGTTTGAACGACCGCTTCCGGCAGCGCGTTATTATTTCCTTTCATCCGAATGATTCTCCACTCCAGATACTCAAAAACTCATTGGGTCCGTATCAGAAAATTTGTTTAGTGACAGTAATAGTAATGTACATACTAATCCGAACAAAGTTGTTTGATATTGAATACATCATACGAAACGAAATGCTGATTCAATGATCCAATGATTCATTCCTGTCACTATCCCAGAATGTGAGCCTATTATAGACATGCGTAATACTCAAACGACATATTCGTATTGTATTTTCCATAATTTAGTTCAATATTTTATTTAACATTTAACTACAGACACTTTGATGTTATCATTAAGAATAATATAGGAACGTATATGATTAATTCTCAGTAGAATTGTTTCACACATATTACAATAATTAACACTGGACCATTACTAGAAATCTTGAGCGATATACAACATGGCACTGACACTTTTTGTATCAAGCTAGAGGCATATTATTATGATATGACGTTAAATTTCGAAACTCAAAAGTGATTCAAACCGAACCATTCTCCAGGTTGGAGGACTCGTGAAGACGTTGGTCACTTTGGTTGCAGATGTTTGCGCGGAGATTCGCTGAGACAACGGTGAACGTTGGGAGGCGAGGATGGGCGAACGGGATATAAAATCTGAAAAGGAGCTAACACCGGGAGGGATATAGAGGCCGAGTACGAGAGGTAACTATGCAAATGCAAGAGTACATTTATCTCGGCACCACGCCCATGTATTTCCTGGGAGCTTCCGGACGCATTGTCGGGGGCGAATCGAAACCCCACACCCCCGACCGTCCCTCCCTATTCCTCTTTCATCTTTCTCGCACACCGCGCTCTCCCTCTCGTACCGACCTCCGGTGTATACGCGAATGCCACCACCCACGCCGATACTCCGGAGATTTACGGGCAAACTAGCCCGGTCCCCAGGGCTAATAGACCGACAAGTTATGGGCCAATTCAATTTAATTTCGAAAATAAACAACCGCCAACGGCGACGTTGGTCAATTTATTCGAAAATCCCGCGAGCGGATCGCGATATGCGGCGTCGCGTTGGGAACGATCGCAGGTCAGAATTCTTTCTTATTCTCTGAGACAGAAAACGATAACATAAACCATGTCCGTACATACGTATGTACAGGGTGAACAGTTATAAGTAAGATAAGAAACAATTGATTACTCTATTATTCGATTAACAGGTACTTTGACAGAAGACACTTTATTCAAAGGAATGTGTTAAATTTCTTGAATCGAACTGTCAGTTAAAATTCATACCATATTTCAGAGAAACTGGTCTCTGATCTATTTTTTTATATATTGTTTCGATTACTGGTGGGAGAAGTTTTAAGAAGTGGTTCTAGAATCCAAAATTAGACAAAAGTCAACAATAAAAAAATTGCATCTGAGGCTCTATTTTTGAGTTATAAATGATTAATATTGCGCTTGGTGATAGGCAAACCTGCCTACCACATACGGTTCTCAGAGACAGCGTGCATTTGAAATTCTAAATGCTAACATACTTTTTACAGATTACCGTTGCATAGTGCACGTTGCATATTAGGAACTACTGTTGGTCAGAGGACCGTCACTGTGCTCACAGTGGTCCCGAATTATAACGTGACAAACAAGACAGAAACACATCTTACAAGAGTACATTTATTTAATGATTTACATTATATACTAATCTATACACTGTATGTTTTAATAAAATCATTAAATAACAGATTACTGTATGTAATATAATACTTCTCATCAAATCATTCTGTGTACTTCATCGAATATTAACCAGCATTAATTATTTCATAATAATGCACACATATATTTTAAAATGATATCATTGGCGAACTTTATACTCAAGTAGATATACTGTCAGCTTGAGGAACACGATATCCGGTTGTAAGAATAGGAAAACGTGGGTTCTACTGACAGGATCCAGTTTTTAGCACACGCTACTCCGTTTGAACTTGCTCAACGACCGTGGGACGTAAAGTCCGCAGAGGCAAAATCGGTTTCTCGTAATCCCATATTCCGGAGCCGAACGGGCGCTGCCGCTTTCGATAGGAAATGAAACGCAATTTTCCCGGAGAATGCGAGTATTCGAATGTCGCCCGACACGGTGCAATGCGCGTATTTACTTGAACGGTCGCCTAAATGCAAGACTGAATACGAACCGACCGTTTCATCCGCGATTCGTTTGCCGAATCTATTTACTCTTTAACTGAACATTGGTAATTAATTTTTGATCTGACGGATTGTGACTGTTGGAAATAAGTAAATATTACATCTTGAATATAAATGACTATCTCTCAATTCGCCATCTAGCGGTTAGCACGAGAGTGCGACAGTTTCTTTGTCTTAAGTTTATGTCTTCCGTTGCGGCGTATTACTCTCTTTTCTGTGTCGCCATGAAGTGCTCGTGCGTTGTCGAAATGTTAACCAAAGACTATTTCCAAATTTATTAATCAAACATTATTATAACA